CAGTCAAGTGCCTTAGGCACTATGCTACTGAGCTCCCCTCTCTGAGCCTTATAAACAATAAAACTGCTTTGAAAGATGCTATATTAAATAAAATTTTGTTGACAAATTTTCTGGCACAGGGTAGATTTGCAATATACGATGAATATTATTAGTAGAAAGATTACAGGCTCTGGGGCCAGATAAACATGGGTGAATCCTGCTTTGTTACTTAGTAGCTGTAGGACCTTGGAAACTCACTTTATATTTATTTCTAGGCTTACATAAAAGCAAGATTAAAAATTATCCCTTTAGACAATGAAAGCATGCCAGAAAGACATGTGCACTAAATAGATGAAAAGTATGTCCTAATCCTTCAAAATAGACTGAAGTAAGGAAAATCATACACTACATAAGAGAACTATATCAATTAGTATTTAAAAACACAAAAATTAGATGTCAGAAAAGCACTCAGGGAATAAAAAGAAATGAAAGGAGAAAACCACTATAGAAATGATGATTGAACTAGAGGGAACTCAAGGGCAAAGAAACATAACAAGTAATATCATAACAAAAAATGAAAATGTTTTAATCATTAAAAGAATAAAGAAACAACCAGGATTTTTAAAAAATTAACAAATTAAAGAAGATAGTCAAAGAAGATAAAACATATGAATAATAAGACTCTCTGAAGAATCTGGACTCTCATTTTAAACTGCTTATAACTTTCTTCTCCCATAATATACAGGGATGTGGGAATTATTATTTTTACTTGTTTACAATTACCCTAAAATTATAAAATGAGCCATCATTTCCCTAAAGTTTTCAAAACTTTCACTTGTCATATAGACCTGGGCATTTTGTAGTCTGAAAAGTATTAGTAAGTGGAGGCAGCAAAATAAACAAACTCTTTTCTTCCCAGGAAGCAGGAGTTCCATGTTTCAGAATCAGTTCTCCCAAGAGACAGAGCTGCTAACTCTTGAGAAAAATGTTATTAGCTATTTCCAAAGGCAAAATAAAAGACATTTACTTTGAAAGTAAGTTCCTTGGACAAAATTCAAAAACACAAAAATGACCAGAATTACTGGTCAGATAGAGACTGTGGAACCCCCAAGACTATGGCCCTGGGTTATCCTTTGGGCCTAGAAATAGACTCTCTTTCATGGATTGGCTCTCAGCCCAAAAGTAGAAAAACCTACATGCAGAACACCTACCCCAGGGCAATGTACCTATCTACTGTAGGGAGATGCACCCGTTAGATCAATCAGCCATGAGACACTAGAGGGACAGCATTCCCATAAGGGGAAAGCTGGACAGACAGGAGTGCATAGTTAA